CATTTATAACTTACCACCTGCTCTCTTCTCTGCTGAGAAGCTCCTGCACAAAGGGGAGAAGCCCACGACACAATGAAAACATTGCAGCAGAACCCGTTCTCCTTAGATCCAGAACATCATTGCTGGTGTTGCAACCAGAGGTTAGTAACCTGCTCAGATAGAACACCTACAACATGTATGCAAGACCCAAATTGGATAGTTAAACCCTGTATTTTCCACAGCCAGAATCCCAAAACTAAGCTTTCTTATACCAAGTAACTGACAACTTCATAAGGCTGTTGCAGGACTGAACTGAATTAGAAACTATTTTGTTTTAACATGGAAGGCTCTTTCTGGGTAGACAGCTTCAGAAGACTCATCCCCCCCCAACTGCACTGAGCTAACACTGCCATTAAACATGCTTTTAGCTAATATAACTGTTGCGTAAGAAACAGCCACCCCCATGTACAAACCCAGACCCATTCTCTGACATGTTGCATAAAGCTTACAAGTGAGGTTAGAAGATGTGAGTCTCTGGGATAGGCAACTTCTTACACAGCTAAATCCACTAACACCTTCTTTTCCTTCCTGATTACATCTCAGGACATGGCACACACTCTGCCCCAGCAGGATCTGTGCTGCTAAAAGCACCAAAGCACCTGGGATACCTCGACGTTTACCAAATAACTCACTTGAGATTCTTCACCAGTTTGCCTGGCTTGCACACTTAAAGCCAGGCTACTGCAAGACAGAGGAGCCGATACCCTACCTCGCAGCACAGAGTGCAGCACACATGCCCTGCCTCACAAGGTACACAGGAAAAGCAAGTAGGAAAAAAAAAAAAATCACATGTCCCATTCCAAGAGGAGAAATAGTTTAATTCCTAATCCAAATGTCACTGGTCAGCTGATCAGCAGCTAGGACTTGGCAGAAGCTAGAAGGCAATAACTGACAAAATACATTTCAAAGCGACATCTTGAACCAAACCACCCTGGAACTGGGTTGAGGGTCATGTAAATCTGCAAAATTTACCTTGGATGGGGCTTGCTTCCAAGTGAAGTTATTTCAGAAGCTGCTCACCTTTACACGAGAAGCTGAAGGCTGACAGTGACTTCAGGTTACGGTGCTGTACGCTCTAAGGAAAGGGAGTGCTGGGGGTAAACCAGGCAGGGGGTGGCAGAAATCCTCTGTAATTAGCCCAGGCACACATTTCACAGCTCAGGGGGCCACCTGCCTGACTGGACACAGGTTGTGCATTCACTGCCTTACCAAGCTCTCCATACACATGCTGGCCTGCACGTTTGCTAAAGAAAACCCTCATGAAACCTTCTCACAATATCCATTTCTTCAAAAAGGAGTAAAAAGTGCAGCTTGCAAATTTAAGCTGATTTTGCATTGGTTTATAATGACTACCATTAAATGCTTTGAAATACACATAAGCCAGCAGCACACACATAGGCATTTATCTGAAAAAAATCTCAGTGAAATATTTGACATTAAACCTGAATCCCCTCACTTATACATTTTAAGGGGAAAAGGCTACAAGTAGCACGTTTAGAAAAATATTAATTGAAAGAGTGACTTTTTACAGACCTGATGAAACGCAGCCTGTACCTTTTGCTAGAGGCAGACCAAGACAAAAAAAATCCTAGCTCGAAAACGCACCCCATCAGTGCTCGTTCAGCAGCCACATACTACGTTGCAGGTTCACAGAGTAACACAAAACACTGAAAACTGGACCCTGGGGCAATCCCCACCTTGTTTGATGTAGCTCAGAGGAGCACCTGTGGCTGCGGTACTCTGCCACACACTCACATCCCACAACCTCCTTCACAAATTTCTGATTTCTGGCAACACCCTTCGAAATGTTTCTGCTGCTCCTCACCACAGAGACACCATCCTCCGTCCAGCTCCAGCATGGGGTTCGGGTTTTTTCCCTCCCCTACACACAGGCAGAAACAAAAAGCAGCATCCAATCTGATCACACTGTTTTGGTTTCTTTTCACAAACAAAACAGTCAGATAGTAGCCTGACTCACCCACACACTCAAAGGCCTCCAGGGCATTCACCTTAGCTCCCCAAAACACCAGTCACCTTAAAGCCAGTAACAGCCTCCTCAGCCCATTCTGGGTCACTACTCTGATGCTGCCACTTCAACCTTGGCCTTGCAAAAGTCCAAGGCCAGCAGTGCTGACCTCCTACAGCAATTAATCCTTGTGCAAACTTTGAGGGGTATTTCTCAAGAGATTATTTGTGCTATTCCATGGATTAGAGCAAGACAACTACAAAGACTCAATTAAGAATCACCTATTGCAATAGACTGTTCACCAAAAAATACTGATTCACCAGTACTATAACACCACGGACAAACGACCATTCAAGTTCCTTTTATATTATTCCCATCTACTTCCTTCCCTGCCCCGGAATGCGAGTATCCAGACATAACTATTTTTAAGGGGGGTGGGGGATGCACATAACCGCAGTGGATATTTTGGGGGATCTACGCAAGACTGTGAGCACGGGGAGACATCTGCCATCTGGCAGACTTCACAGTGCCTGCATTAAGGACTCCCATCCTGGCCCAGGGAGCAGGCATCCTCAGCAGGGTTGGTCGGCAGAATTGAGGGTGACCAGTCACAGCTCTGACAGACAGAGGTAAATCCCAACACTTTCATTCCAAAAGTTCTGGTTCAACCAGTTCCTCAGGCGTGCAACTCAAGTCTCCCCCACACCATCCATCATAATTTCAGAGACTCTTTCTTTTAAGCCACTTTTACATCTCATTTATTTTCTATTATTTTCTCTTCACATGCTGCACCAAAACACAGGCCTCTCCTCTCCCTTCTAAAGCAATGGTGATGAGAGATGTTTCTTTCCCAGACAGGATACTCCACCTCCTCCTACAAAGTGCTTCCCAGGGGACTCTCCCTTTTAGTAGAAATAGCCAAGACTTCACAAGTTGCCTTTTCAACACTGCTGAACCACCAAGATTCATTGCAGATACAAAAAAAAGTTTTCCAGCCAAGGACTCAGACGTCAGTAGTGCAGGGACTGTGCTGCCACAGAGCTCCCCAGGTCTCCAGCTGAGTCAGTGAAAAAATGCTGTTTACCAGCACTTGGGGAGCACCCGCAGCTACACCAAAAGGCCAGAGGTACACAAGGCTGCAGCACTTCTGACCCATGTCAAGTCCCCGGGATGACCTACATTTCCTATAAAGGAAATGGCATTTTCACTCCTCTGTTCCCATCAAAAGGCAACAACCTGCAAACCTACGGGCCACCCTGGCTCTTGTTCCCTTGGAGACTTCACTAACCAGCAGAAGGGGTTCGGACTGCTCGCACCAGGAGTCTACAACACTTGCACAGCACATCTCATCAAAAGAGCTTCCTTTGCCTTACAGCGTGGGCAGGAAGAGAACACAGCACCTATTTTACAGGCCTGCTGCACCTTGCTTGGCCTGTGCAGGCAGATCTAGGAGTTGTAGCCCACACCAGGCCATGCTCCATCCCAGACGCCAGCAAAGAAAGCAGGAGTCACAGGGAAAAGCCCCCACAAGCAGCAGTTCCTCCAGGACAGCAAGGTACAGACACATCTCCCACGCAATCTGTGCTACCACCTCGCTCCTTTAGTGGCTGCAGCTCAGGCCGAGCAGGAGAGGGCCCAGTGACACACACAGGCTGGCTTCCTGGTGCTGTCAGCACCGGGGCAGAACCTGCCAACAGATTATTCATCAGAAAAAAAGCCTCTGTTTTCCTGTGTTACCAGGATGAGGTCAACCTGCAATTAAAAAAAAAGCCTGTGACAGTTTCTCAGGTTTAGCTCTTGTAGTTCCTAAGCTTCTAGGGCCAAAAGGGCCTTGGAAATATCAGCCAAGGCAAACCTATATTGCAAATTTCAAGTCAGGAAAAAAAGAAAAATAAAATCACTATAGTTACTAGCTGAAGGACTGCTTTTGGTGCTCCCATCAGCTCAGCAAGCAGCAGAACATATCAGAAATCACATCTGAAAGATGGTCAGAGACCTATTTGCTTGTAAACTGTAGGGACTTTTTACAAACCTGAACGCACACGGAGTCCCTTTTCCATTTTAGGGTTCTTTCTGTAAAAGCCAACGCAGGTCCTCCCACTCAGCTCTCATAAAGCCGCTACCCTCTCCCTCACAATTACAAGATCAAAACAAAACGCTGTTTTGACTGAAATGGCAAAGGATGCTACGCAGGAGATGGACCAGGAGCAGGTCTAAGGAGGCCAATGTCTCTCTGAAGGTCGAGGCTAAGGTTACCAGCCAGAGCCATTCCTAAGGTTCCTTAGAACCCAAACAAATGAAATGTAAAATTACAGTTAAAGCAGCAGCACTGGTTACAATCTTAACAAACACCACTGGCAGCACTGCAAGCACACGTAAAGGGTTTTATAATCCCTACTGATAATTTTTAGCTAATTATTTTATTTTGGAAAACAAGTGCAATTGGGATTACTGCTTCCCCTGCAGAAAGCCCACACAAACAGAAATCCCTCATCCCAGACCACAGCCAGCTCTGCTCAGCCCACCAGTGTTTTATTCCTCTCTGCTTAAGGTAGGAAAGGAGGCAACTGGATGAAGAAAGTTAGAGTGAAGACCACCACTTTCTTTATTGACAGTACCTTGCTCTGCACCAAAACATTTGACAATTTTGGGTTTGGGTTTGTCGGTTGGTTTTTTTTAAAAAAAATCAACCTCCCAGTTTAGGGAAGGTGGGAAACAATTACATTCTGAGATCCCCTCAATTTCTACAGCATTAAAAAAAAAACCCAAACACAAACCAAACCCCCAGTGGGCTTACACATAGGAAGATCAGAAGTGCCAGTTTGCAGATGCCCCTGGATGGCAAGTCTGTCAAGGACAATAAAATATCTGGGGAGCCGGGGATAGAGGGGGAGGTGGAGTGCACGGGAAAGGCCAAAGCCTCCTTCTCCAGCTTTGTGAGGGAGAGGGGGAGGGATAAGAAGCAAAGGCCCCGCGAGAGGCCCAGGGCTCTTACCTTCCGCCAGCACCTCGTCCACCGTCACCTGATGCCGGCCGATGCTGAACACCCGCCCGATGTACCCGCTGCCCGGGCCGCCGCTGCCGCCGCCGCCGCCGCTGGTCCCCGACCCGGGGCCAGAGCCACCCTGCTCCCGACGCGAGTCGAAAAACTTCTTCATTTCTCAGGAGGCAGCAGCAGCAGCTGCCTGGTTAATGGGGGCGATGCTATTTTTAAGGTCCTAAACCCCTTCCTTGTCCCTGCTGCAGCCCGGCCGGGCCCGGCGAGGGAGACCCAGGGCCGCTCGCCTTGCGGGGCCGAGCCGAGCCGAGGCGCGGTGTCCTCCGGGGGATTCACACCTGCAAAACCACAGGGGGAAGGCGGGTGACGGGAGGGGAAAGGCAGTAACCCCCAGGGCACGGCCCGGGCCGCCGCAGCCCCCTCAGGCAGCCCCGACTGACAGGTCCCCCCGCCCGGTACCTCTCTGCGGGCGGGGGGTGCCTCCATGCACCCCAGGGCCGGCCTGCCGCAGCCCCCCTAGGCTGCCCGCGGCGGGTCACGGCGGGGGCCGC